TCAAACAAAAGAAAAAAGATCTTCATAGTAATGCCTTACAACATCAAAGATGTGGTTGTTCTGACAACAGTCGGACAAATAAGGATATGGCATTGGCCACATCTGTTGGGGTCCCAACTTCCTTTCACAAAAAAATAAAATTGGGGTCCCAACTTTTATGGAGTTTTGAGGAAAAGAGATGAACCAATTGCAGCTTGAAGCTCGAAGTGTCTCATCTTTCGATAGTAATTTATTTAGTCTGAATTTTGAAGTATTTATGGTCATCGTGTTTAACGAAGTGTTCCAAGAGACATAAATCTTAAGAGCATACACAGCGCTACACTTATGAGATTACTTGTTAAACATTTTTTAATTATTAAACTGTAGTGGAAGCGTCAGAAGAAAAAAGAGAGAGAGAAAAAGAGATAGAGAGAGATAGAGAGAAGAAATTTTTTTTCTTTTTTATAATGCCAACACTCGGGTGTTATCCTACATCCCACTTGCATATCTTCTCTAACTTTTTCAATATTTTTCGTTTTAATATTAGTCACACTCTTGTAAAGAGTGCACCAATGTGTATGCTCTAATAGCACTCACTCACTCCATTTGTGAAATTCGCCGTCTCCGTCTCTGGTCGCCGGTATCTTCCAACACACAAAACCCATCAGGTGATTTCTCATTCTTCGCTCCTTTCTGATCTAAAAACCTTTTCTTTTTGGGACTTTATCGAGTGCCGCTAATCAAGATTATAATGATTTGTTTCTCAAATGGGTTCTCATACTTAGATTCTGAGAAAGTAAACTGGGCCCAGCAAGCATTAGAAGGCCCATATAATTTTTGCAATTGAAAGCTTTGCAATGGGCCCACGAAGCACGTGTTCCATGGCTAACATAAAAACGGCAAGCAATCTACTTTGCTTTACCCGGTTTTACTTTCGCCGTTATCACTTTTTAACCATTTTCGGCTTCTCCGTCGCTTAAATCGCCGGCAGTTTCCAGCGACATTAATCTCCGGCGAGACTATTTACTCGGTGAGTTTCGCGTCTCCATGGTTTTTTTTCCTTCCCTGAATTGTTTCATTATATATAAACGGAGATTGCTTTTCCCTGAGCGTCGTTTCAATCATATCGTATCACTGTAGAGATTGGTTCGCCATTGTAAGAGGGAGCCGCATCGAAGGAAGGATTTATATGGCGGAGGTACTCACTGAATCACTGTTATGATGTTATTGGTTTTTGATTATTGATTTGTAAAATAACAATTAAGATGGTGAGATTTAAGAAAAAGTTAAAAGTGTTGAAATTTCCATTTCCCTGAGAGTTGAAGTTTTCCAATTTTTTTTTTTTCGATTACTACGGATGCTGGAGACGAATGCATAGCCTGTGTGTATATATTTAGAGCCCTTCCCGCCCCCGCCCTGGCAAGAAGAAGAGAATGTTGAAAAAACGTCATGGCTCGAGTGTTGTTGTGGGACTTAAACGACATCGGTCGAGTGTTGTGGGACTGTTGCTACCTCAAGATGCTGTAGAGCTGATCCTCGAGAGACTGCCAGTGGAGTCTCTATTGAAATTCAAGTCTGTTTCCAAGAATTGGAAATCCACAATCGAGTCCCGGTGTTTCAAGGAACGACAGTTGATCCGTCGCAAGCAATCACGAGGCCCTGATGTTCTTTTAGTGCCCCTCACTTGGTCTTGTGATGGCACAGATGCTGAAAGTATTGCTTTGGGGTCATCCATTGTTTCTACCGTCAGGCTACCTACTTCTTCGGGCAGCAGGATCTGCCATGGTAGCTGTGACGGTCTACTATGTCTCTACTGTGTTTACACTCCTAGTGTCGTGGTCAATCCCGCCACTGGATGGCATCAAACTTTTCCTCTTTCCAACTTGCAACTGCTCTGCCTCGACATGTACGATAAACCCGAAGACCATGACTTCTTCCCTATGCCTAATCTTGGATTCGGCAGAGACAAATTCACTGGCACTTATAAGCCTGTTTGGTTGTATAACTCATCCCACTTTGGCCTCCCCAACGCTACCACTTGTGAAGTTTTCGATTTTAGCACCAACGCTTGGCGGTACGTTCACCCTTCTCCTCCTCATCGGATTAATGATTTCATTAATCCCGTGTATTTAGATGGGTCACTTCATTGGCTCGCCGAGGGTGAAGAAGAAACCAAGGTATTGTCTTTCGATCTTCACTCCGAAACCTTTCATGTCCTCTGTAAAGCTCCCTTTGCCCGTGATCATTTCCCTATCAGCCACAACATGTTCATCCTCGATAATCGCTTGTGCGTCTCTGAGCAAGACTCGTCCACCCAAGTGATATGGTCGTTCCATTCATCTGGCGGCAACAAGAACAAGACATGGAATAAATTATGTTCTATAGATGTCACAAGAACTCGTTCTTGGTTCATCGATATCAACTTCCCTCTCGCACCAATTGCAATTTTGGACAAGAATAAGTTATTGCTTCAAGGTCGCCATTGCGTGGGAGACCTGGTCATACATGATCTCCATGCCAAATCTTATGATTTACTCTTGAAACCCGAAACCCGTGGCTATCCTGTTTATTATTTCCAAAGTTTATTCTCTGCTTTGTCAAATTAATTTGTCTTTTTTCCAATGAACCTTTGTAATTTCTGCATATTTCTATCCAACGTTCTCATCTTTCTTCTCCGAAATTATACTTATTTGTTGCTGCTGCTTGAGTAAGATGCCAATAATATGCAGAGAATAACTGTTAAATGCTTCAGAGGGTTTGTGCTAATGTCAGATGATGAGTTGGAATAGCGGAAACTGGACTCTTAGGTGTGTGAGTTATCATCGTGTCACGGAAATTCTTCTTCGACAACACAAGGAAGGAAGAGATATAACAGACTAATTTTACCCTGTTACCTATATTGATCCCCTGGATTCTTAGAATTTCCAAGCTCTGGTGATGCAGAACAATGTTATCAAGGATATCTCAGCAACTGTTCTTGCTCGGATTAATGGATTTGGATGCTTAGTGTGGAACCAGGAGCTATTGGACATGGTTCACTTTACTGAAGAAGGAGAGCTTCTTTCCATCTGTCTTGCACGTTCTGAGTTAGGTAGGACTTTAAAACACCACAAATCACTTTTTTTCTTTTTCGGTTTTTACATAATGTTTTAGCTTTGTTTCCTATGATTTTTTTCAATTGCGACATGGTTTACAGTTTAGTTTCTTGGTGAATCTCTGAGCTGGAAGCAAGCGAATCAAGATCATTGCTGTTACTGTTAGCCTCTCTGCTTTTTTCTTTTTTGGTGACATAGCTTACAGTTTAGTTTCTTTTTGGCATATGGGTGTTGGAGATACAGAGTTAAACAGAATGAAAAAGATTAAGAGCTTACTCTCTCTGTTTCTCGTTTGTTGTTGTGTATACATTATAGCGAAGCTGGAGATTGATTGGCCCAAAATATTCGGATATTTGGTTGGCTCCGATGTTTCAAGGAACTCAAAATCAAGACAACGCTGGCAGGGTATTTGGAACTTTGTAAGAGTCACTACTCTTCTTCTCCCAATTATATCAAAATTTCTAATTCTGTGTACTAATCTTTTTTTTTTCTTTCTATATATATTCGATATTCGAACAGGGGTTACATGGCTCCAGGTATGCATGGCCAAGGACATTCTCTGACATTTATAGCTTTGGAGTTTTGATCAGCGGAAAAGAGGACAAAAACCTTGTTGCATATGTAAGATAAACACTTAAAAGAGTCTAGAATTTGATTCCAATCAAACTTATAATTCTTATATTCTTCGGGGGTTTCCACAACAAAAATTGACCTCAGTGACCATCTACGGGGCTCATAATGATCCATTGACGGTGCAAGTTACTTGTGTTGCTTATTTTTCAGGTATTCAATGTCTTGTGCTCTGAACATGTTGAGCAAGCATGAACGTGCATCATCATACTGCAACAACTGTCGGGAAAAAGGTGTGACTCTAGTAAAACTAAACTATTTTAACTGCCTTCAACTGAGAGGAACAAAGAACGAGAGTTGGACAATGTGATTATTTGCTCCGGTTTTACTGGCCATCTTTGTTATTTGAACGTATACTTCACTGCTCCTGTAGTTTTCTGGAAACTATGATAATGAAAATTACTGTACCCTGAATATGGAGTAGCCAATGCAATAAACACATATATGTATTAGTCTATAGGTTGAGCTCTGGGAAAAAGCTCAGGATTTCCTTCTGCACAAGATAGCTATTTTAAGAGGACCAGTGTAATTAGAAGTTAATATTGACCTGGGATCATTGTAGTATAGTATGAGTAATGAATGGTCTCCTTTATCATAAATCCACTCAGGTTTATGTTTTGGAGTTTACATGTGACCTTACAAATGATGAGCACAGAGAGAGGGCTTTTTTTGGTTGTAGTTTTGTATTAATTTCACTGTAATTTGTTTGCGTTTCAGTTCACATAAACAAGATTCCGATGTTTATGAACGCAAGACCCCGAAAGGTAGCAGCGGTAACCGGTACCAGTAGTTTGAAAAATGGTTGCTGCTGCCTCACGATTTGGCATTAGCTTGAAGAGCTCATAATACTACTACTATACTGAGTTTTGTTACAAACAGTATGGTTTTTAATTTTAGTGATGATCTTGGTCATTTAACTTGAAGAAGGGATTTAGAACTTGTCGATATATCTGCCTGTAATGGGTTAAACTACTCGGAACAGGAGATGTCTTTTTCGTTTATTCAGAGAGATACAGCAGCACAAGCACAGAGAGAGAAGGGCTTTTTTTGGTTGCAGTGTTGTATTAATTTCACTGTAATTTTATTTTTTCTTTTACATCAAGAATCAATATGAATGATACTACTCTTTTGTGTCAAGCTCAACTACTACATGACTAAGACAGCCAATAAAACGAAAAACAAAACATGTTATCATGACTAAGACAGTCAATAAAACCAAAACACAAGACTGGTTCATTCACCGAAACAAGACCATACTAAAATCATCATGACTAAGAGACTGTCAATAAAACCAAAAAACAAAACGTGTGTTCATTCACCAAAAGCAGACCATATATGTGTCATGTTGTACTCTCATACTCTTCTTCTCTTCAATCGAAAAACTTGTTCCTCAGATTCCTCATGAACAGCAACAAAGCATTCCTTATCCCATGGTTTCCTCCAAAAAACTGAAAAACAAAAGAGGCAAAAAATTTAAATATAGAAAAAAACAAAAGAGGCAAAAAAAAATATAGACTCACCTCCACAATTGTGTCTCCGTTTAGATCATTGAGCGTGATTACCGTTAGTGTTTGCTGATTCCATTGACCAAAAAAATCCTCTCCCAAGTCATTCCGATATTTTCCTTCAACAAGCAAAGTCAGCTTAAAACGTTCATAGTTGATGGTTTCAAGGCAGTATCTTAGAATTGCCAGGGCAGCATCAATTGCTGGTGATCCATCATCAAGCTGCTTCTGCACAATTTAAAATTGAGATCATAAAAAAGTTGGAATTAAAAGCAAACCCTAATTAGACACCATACCTCAAGAGAAGACACAGTTACAGTTGTATATCTTGCAGATTCGGTTGTGTAAACAACAGCAGTTGTTTCTCTCCTTATTCTATTAATATTGGTCTGATTTTTGCCCTTCAACAGACCAACCATAGAATTAGGGCACAAAATATCAAATTTAACCAGTTTCTCCATTTTTTCCTACAATAAACACACAAAGCAATTACTGTGTAAGAGACAGAGACAGGGAAAGAGACAGAGAGACTGAGACAGAGAGAGGATTGAAAAGATTTACCTCAAAAAATTTGCGAGATGAACAGTAACCCGTGAAACAGAGAGCCGGTGAACAGTAACCCGTGAAACAGAGAGCCGGTGAACAGTAACCCGTGAAACAGAGATGATTAGCGGATGAACAGTGAAACGTGATGATGAGAGATGATTAAAGGTGAGAGAGATGGTGAACAGAGATGATGAGAGATTGTGCACAGTGAGAGACGTGCTTCACAAGCAAATGGTGTTTTATAGATGTGAATTCTCTCTAATGTTGAGCGAGAATTAGAAAAATAGACGTTGCAAAATAGACGTTAGGAAGGAGAGCCTTCTCTACAGAATTTGAATTAGAATGAAACTAATTGCAAAAATATATATGTAATTTTGGGTTATAAGATACATACTTAAGAAAAAGAAAAAAAAAAAACGTGAAGTGGTAAAATAAAAAGGAGACGTTAGAAACAACGGCTCTTTTCTAAATATCTTGATTCAATTATAAAATGGGGTCAAATATATATAATTTGGGTTAATTAACGATTTCAGTTACTCCTAAATGAATAGTACAAGATTTCACATAATCGATACAACAAAACTTATGACAAAAAAATATATATACTATTCTCTACCTCTCCATTCAATCAAACATTTTGATTAAACTAAACAGTTTAACTTATATATATATATCTTATTTACTTTCTCTTTGCTTCTCTAGCTACTCGGAAAAGAGTAATTATTAATTACGTAATGTACTTTCTTATTGCATGAGTATACAAAGTTCATGTATCTATATAAACCCTATAAAAAATAGTCCAAGACCTGTTTTTATTCACCGGATACATCAAAGGTTTAAAGGCTATTTTTGTCAAAATATACACCTTTACTTCGTCTCAAAATATATATACACTTATATATTTTGTTTCTTTTCTTTTGTAACTTGATTATTTGTGTTGCAATATATTTGATTAAGAAATTTTTTTGTTTATAATCTTATGATTGATTATATTTGGTTTGTAATAAAGCTAGATTTTACTCCACGGCACACTGCAGTCGATATTTTTATAACTAAAAAGTTTAAATTTTAAGTTGTATTTGTTTTGTTGATATTGTTTCCTCTCGTATTTTTTTTTAAAATCAGCAAAGTGTTATCGCATTTTTGTAATTCAAAAACACAAAGATATCTACTTGCAAACTTACATATAAAATCATTCCAAGTTTTATTACAACGCATAAGAAAAGATACCAAACTTAGAGTTTTCAGATTATTGACAGAAGAAAGCAAAATAAAAAGACCAACACATAACCATCTTCCAAATCGATTTATTTAGTAGTCGTTCACACATCATATGGCAAGAACCTTTAGTTTCTAAAAAAAAATAAAAAAAAGATCCTTTAGTTCTCATCGACAACCTCCCCAAATTCATCCGGATGGATGGTAGACGTGAATTCATATCTATTAAAAAAAAAAATGTTACCTAGGATAATGAAACTTTGTAAACGCACTTAGTAAATGAAGTTTACATAAAGCAGTTCTTATCCATTTCGGGGAGGTCACGATTAATAAACGCACTTGAATATCCAGCTCCGGACATTAGACATTGTTTTTCTAATCATATATGTGAAAATATCATAAGTCACAATACTAACAAAGTAACAAATAAAAACGATTCTCTAATGTAAAACATATACATATGTATTTTATAATCACCTTCGAATTCATTTTACTTTCCAAAATCGGAGTACACTAAAGATCGGATCCAATCCACAGTTCCACTCATATCCGAGATCATAGCCGTTATTTCTCAACATACCTAAAAATAAATGATAATCTTTTCCTATAGCATAACATGATATCTCCTCGCCACTGGAAAAAAAATATCATAACTAATTAAAAATTTTAAGCGACCTAATAATAATGATCATCCACATTGTCTATGATTATATAAACTAGATATAGACCCACCTGTTTGCGTGGGTTCAGTGATATATTTTCAATTTTTTTAATTTTGTAAATTAATATTATTTTAAATATTTTTATTACAATACTATTTGAAAAATATATATAGCTTTATTGGTAATAATACGATTATATAAAAAATAAAAAATGTTATAAGTGATACATATAGATTTAGTGATTTACTACTTATATTAAACTTTTTTTGTTTTTGTTGTTACTGTTGTACAACTTAGTAATTTTATAACCATTAATTATATATTTTCTCTTTTAGTGCATAAATATATATGCATAACATCTTCTATTTATAAAATGCAAATGTGACATTTTAAATGTAGTTTGTCTTTTCTAAATTTATATCTATTATATTTAGAAGCAAAAAAGGAGTTATATTATTTTATAGTATATATTAGTTTCTCTTTAGACCTTTAAATTTGTGAGACTAATTTTGTCACTCAGTTCTGATATTTCTATAACCTATTATTATTATTTTTATTATTATTATTATTATTATCTTATAAAATCCATTGTTGTAATTGTGCTCTTTTTACCTATTTTTGATATTTCTTAAATAATTTTTTTATAGTTTTAATAAGTGCATAATGTTTGTATTACTATCAAATGCATTTATACATTTACTTTCATAATTTGTTATCTTGTATTTATGCAAATCTAAAATTAAAGGTGTACATTATTATATTTTTAGTTTTCTTGTCAATTTTAAATATATCATAGACGATAATATTAAGCGATATTTTAACATTTTGTTTAGTTTTATTTATAAGCTAATCAACTATTAGTTTAGTTATTTTGTCATTAGTAACATTTTTATATAAAAAAAACTCGAAAATTGTGCAGATAACCAAGAGGTAGCGTTCCTTATAGACTGTTATGATCTGGTGAAAATGGTGTCTTCCCCAACCGAATGGCCGGCCTTCTCAGTGTATCTAGAGGAATTTCAGAGCGACAAGGAAGAGTTCTCCAACTTCTCTCTATCTTTAATTTCTCGTTGTGCTAATGTAAAAGCGGATAATCTAGCACGAAAAGTTCGTACGGAACCGCTTCATATCACTTATGTAAACAACATTCAACATGAATGACTCTTTTGAGATCTATTTAATTTCGGATGACAAAAAAAAAAACCTCGAAAATGAATGAATTTTCAACTTTCATTCTTTCTAACAAAGAAAAAAATTTCATACAATTTAAGAAATACCAAACATATTGATTTTAAGTATGTGATAAGATCCATCACTATATATATTTTTTAAAAACTGAAAAATGTATGACCTTTCAACTTTCATACAATTTTATAATTACCCAACATAGTGAATTTTAATATATCAATTTAAATATTTCTAAAATTTTAAATATTATCAATCATAACACTTTTCGCTAAATTCAAATAATATTATTACGTAAAATAACAATATAGTTTTATACTTCTAATATTAATTTATTTGTATTTAACTTCAAAAAATTTAATCATAAATAAGAATAAATATAAATAAGTATGTATTGAATGAATATTTTAAATAAATTATAATTTATAAATTCTATTTAGATAGAGGCTTAGGTGGACGCTGATGTGGATAGCCTAGATGGAGAGAAAACTCTCTCACTATATACATAAATGTTTTTATTGTTCTGTAAGTAAAAATTTAATAATAAATAAAAATATCTATACTAGTATTTTTGCAACACTTTGGTGACGGGTGGGTAAAAATACTTCTGGGTTAATCGGATATCCGACTCGTTTTTTAAATTCCTTCATAAAACAATTTGTTGGGTCGGGTTATATTTAACCCAACTCATACACCGGATATTTCATACTTAATAATTTAGATATTTAGAATATTTGATTAAGATTTAGAATTATGATTCTCCTATCATCTTTGTTTGATTTGTTTTTAATTGTTTTGAATCATCATATAATACATAAAGTAAAAAAAAAAATCAATTTTTTTTCTGCATATACTGTGATTCGAAATTTTAAAAACGGACATATATTATCCAATTGACGAAAATGTGTGTTCAACGTTCTACATCGATTAAAATATTTAGACAATTCAGAATCATATCATAAATAAGATCAACATTAATAAAATAAATGAGTTTTTTGGCCGGACGTGTTTTGCGTGACGGGTTTTTGAATCAACAATAATAAAAAGAATAAAATATCATTAATCCGCCGCTTCAATACGGATTAAATCTTTTTTTTTAATACCACCAATATTAGACATATTAAATCAGTCTCATTTAGAAGAGATTGTATAAAACCAAAAATTGTCCCGTGGTATAATGTTACTTAATAAAAATATTTATAAAATTTTAAAATATCATTAATGCCGCTTTAATACATATTAAATCTTCAGTTTATTAAAATATAATTAAAATATAATGTCTTAGAGAATGATATGATTTGTAAACTTTTATATATAATAAATAATCATTAAATTTTAAAATATAAAAAAAATCACGGGACGGGTTAAGAAATTACGGAACGAGTTATATTTCGGAAAGGATTTATATGGCGAACGAATTTGAATCAATATTTATATACCGTTTTATTACGGGTTAAATTCTCAATTTATTAATAATTGTCTCGTGGACTCGTGGTATACCGTTACTTAATAACAATTGTAAACTATAATATAAATAAATATGTTATAACGAGATACAATTTACAAAATATTTTTATACTAACTTTAAAATTAAATCATCCCGCGGTGTACCGCGGGTTAAAATCTAGTGTAAGATATTGTTCTTAGAAACTAATATTCCACTTTAAATTTTATTATTATTTATATTTAATAATAAATAAAAATATGTAAGATACATAAATTTTGTTTTATTTTACCTTGTGTTTGAAATTTAACTTTCATTCTAAAACTCATTAACACATTAAATTTTTTGAAATATGATATTTTTAATTTTTCTCTGTTAAAAGTTGAATTATATTATTATTACTAATAAATTTTTCATAGTTTTATCTTTAATATTTTAACATACATATAGAATTACATAAATTTTGTTTTATTTTACCATGCATTTAAAATTTTACTATTATTATTACTAATAAAATTTTCATAGTTTTATTTTTAATATTTTAACATCTCCTTTATTTTATATAATTCATTTATATTTATTTAAATTTTTTATTATTCTAAGTAACATAAATATGCACTAAATGAATGTTTTAAATTTATAATGTAAAATAAATAATGTTGTTTAGGTGGATGCTTAGGTGGACACCCTAGATTGAGAGAGAACTCCCTATTTATTGAGAATGTTTCAAACTCCCTATTTATATATATTTGCACATTTTCAGCTCCTTTCTAGCTCAATGCATTCCTATTTTCACTCAAAATAAATTTTTCCTTGTTTGAAGGTTTTCATGAAGTAGTGGTCTGATGTATTGAATCCAGCAATATCTTGAAAATGTTGGTAATGATCGATGTCTGAAACTTAAGGTTAATTAGCTTATTTACTTACCTTTCCAATACAAGAATATAAATTACTAAAACTAATTGTGAATTCTCGATCTTTCCTCGACGAGATACAAATTCTTTGACAAAAAAATTATTCTTGGAAACAACCACTTTAAATCGTTTTGTCCAAAGCATTTTAATACCAAATATCAAGAAGACTAAAGAACCATCAACATTTGTCCAAAAAAAAGAACCATCAAGTTGTACTAATTATCGCTTTGTCCGAAGCATTTTAATACCAAATATCAAGAAGACTAAAGAACCATCAACATTTGTCCAAAAAAAAAAAAGAACCATCAAGTTGTCCTAATTATCGCTACATTTGCGTTCTTCTTTGAAGAGTGTTTGGAATTACTTCTCAGAAAAGACATCTCTTTTTCAAGCATAGAGATGTCAAACTCATCTTTTACCACTGAATTTTCTTCATATATAATCTTACCAAACATCATCTTGAAAGAATAATTGACAGCCGCAACAGATCCACCAATCTTAACCTCTGTCTCTAGAGGAGAAGTTGTAGAAAGAATTTATTTGCACATTTTCTGCTCCTTTCTAGCTCAATGCATTCCAATTTTCACTCAAAATAAATTTTTCCATGTTTGAAGGTTTTCATGAAATAGTGGTATGATGTATTGAATCCAGCAATATTTTGAAAATTTTGGTAATGATCAAAAATTGTTCGGTAATTTAATAGTTAACTTTTGTTATTTTTGCCAAATTAGTCACTTCGTTAAGTCGTCCCACAAAAAAATTAACGGTTCCATCAAACCACTTAACAACGAGACTAATTTAGTGATTAAAATACAAAATTACACAAAAACGCAAACTCAGGAAGGGAATATGCAACGTTGACACCCTTTCCTTAACGTCAGACACTCTTGAGGTTTGCTGATCTCAGTCCCTTGAATTTGAATACCTTTGCCTCTTCTCTGATGATTTAGTTTACATGGTCCTGTGTTTCAGGTGCTTACATTCTGTTGTGATCTTATACCAGTGTTCAAGAACATGACTCAACTAACAATTAAGATTGGCCCGGAACTAGGATGGAAATTGTTGCCAGGTCTGCTTAACAAGTC